ATTTTTTATTATATCCTCTCGTTATATGCAGGGCTTCATCTTCATCTTTATAAAAAGGTGGCCCATAACATAGGTACCATGCCTTTCTAATAGAAACTTATATTTTTTGTATATTTCAATGCCCTTACTTGTTCCAAAAGTTTGAGCTAATAAATAAAACATACGGTCTAAACTAAAGATATGTATTAGGGCCATTAACCAAAAATGCCCCATATCACATCGCCTACGTCACAGCAACTCCAAACTCCTGGGTTCAAGTGATCCTTCTGCCTCAGCCTCTCAAGTAGCTGGGACTACAGCATGTGCCACCATGCTGCCTAATTTTTTCTATATATTTTTAATTGGCCATTAATTTTTTTTTATTAGTAGAGACGGTGTCTTGCTCTTGCTCAGCTGGTTTCGAACTCCTGACCTTGAGCGATCCTCCTGGCTTGGCCTCCCAAAGTGCTAGGATTATAGGGGTGAGCCACTATGCCTGGCCTAGAATAACTTCCTTTTGAACAATAGGGTTATTTTGGTCTAGTTTATATTGTTAACTTTTTAGAAATAGTAGCCAATTTTAGCATCTACAGTATATAATGTAAATTGGTACAACTTTGCTAAAACAAATTGGAAGCATACATCAAGAGCCTCAGAAATGTTTATCCTGTTTGCCCCAATAGTTCTGCTTTTAGAAATCTACCCTAAGGAAACGATCTAATGTTCAGAGGTATCTGTGTATCACTGCATTATTTACAAATAATTAAGGCAGCAGGTGGCTGTCACCTATAATCCCAGTGCTTTGAGAGGCTGAGGCAGCAAAATTGCTTAAGGCCAAGAATTTGAAGCTGGGGTGAGCTATGATAGCACCACTGCCCTCTAGCCTTGGTGACAGAGTGAGAATTCATCTCTAAAAATAAATAACAAACAAATAAAAATAGTTAAAAACTAGCATCAACATACATGTTAAAAAGAAGTGGCTAAAAAAATATTATATTCATGGTATTAATTAACCAATAAAACTTTTATTTATAAAGAATTTCTAATCATAGGAAGAAATTCTTATTTGGTAAACCAGACACAAAATTGTATTCACAGTATGACTTCAACTATATAACTAAAAAAAATTATACAAGAAAAAAACCACATATACTCACCAGCAAACTGGTATTAACTGAGTAGCACCTAAGTGGACACATAGTGTACTATAGTGAATAGGTATTGGGAGGGGGGCGGGTATATACATACATAACGAGTGACATGTGCACCATCTGAGGATGGTCATGCTGGAAACTCAGATTTGTGGGGGGAGGGGGGAAAGGGCATTTATTGAAACCTTAAAATCTGTACCCCATAATATGCCGAAAAAAAAAAACAGCAGAAAAGAGAAAAATTTTTTTTTAGTCCTCTGTATATGCAAGGCTCATCTTCATCTTTTTATAAAAGGTGGCCATACATAGGTACACACACTTTTTTCTATAGAACTTTATTTGTTTTATTCATGCCTACTTGCTTCCAAAAGTTGAGCTAATAAAAAATAAAACATAAGGTCTAATTATGCTAAGATTGTATTAGCCTTACAAAATGCATATCATTAATTTGTTGTTTTTTGGTTTTTTTTGAGACAGTCTCACTTTGTTACCCAGAGTGAGTGCCATGGTGTCAGCCTAGCTCACAGCAACCTCAAACTCCTGGGCTCAAGCAATCCTGCTGCCTCAGCCTCCCAAGTAGCTAAGGACTACCGGCATGCACCACCATGCCCGGCTAATTTTTTCTATATATATTAGTTGGTCAATTAATTTCTTTCTATTTATAGTAGAGACAGGGTCTCACTCTTGCTCAGGCTGGTTTCGAACTCCTGACCTCAAGCAATCCGCCTACCTTGGCCACCCAGAGTGCTAGGATTATAGGTGCGAGCCACCGCGCCCGGCCCATTTCATTAATTTCTGGTTGAACCTTAATATTCATATAGTCACACTGGGACTTTGTTAACATGGATTTGTAATGACTATGCTAGTGACATTTTAATAGCAGTCATGAATGACAATGTTAACAATTTTTAAAAACATCTATTAATATTACCACTGCTTTGGTTACTAAGCTGCTTTATTTCCTCTCCTTGGTAGCTCAAATAGTGGTGGAGTAACTTTGGCAACAATAAGGCTGTTTATATTAACCAAAGGTTTACATTGGCAAGGATATCCGCCTCTCTCCACTTAAACATCAGTAGCTCTAACCCTACTTCAGTACCCTTTCTATCATTAGTATATATTAATAACTGTCCCTCTTTTTTTTTTTTTTCATAAACATACAGAACAGGAAAATTGTCCCTCTTTTGATAATACTGTTTTATGTTTTGTTATATTCTAGGAGTTAGAATCCAACACACTTAGTAAATCTTACTGCAACTGGTAAAATTTCCATTAAAATAACATAATTAGAAGAGTTCTGCATAGTAAATTAATTTTCATTAACACTAATGGATGGTCTCTAGTTGTATTTTGTTGATTATGTTGACTTTGGACAAGCCATTTAATTCCTCTGAGCCTAAGAAAGGAATGGATTTCTTTAGGAAAACATAAACTGGAGGTTATATTAGGCATGACTTTTGCTCAGAACCTGTGGAATTGGGTTTTCACTGGACTCACTTAAAATGGGGTCTTTTAATTTTATGATTAAAGACTCCCATGGACAAGCTTTAGCTGCAACCTCTTGAAATTGTCAGTAACATTTTGAATACACCTTTTCCTACAATGATGGCCCTCAGTTATTAAGCATATGGGGCATTTATTATGTGTCAGGAAATAGGCCGTATTATAATCTTTCTGATTTGATTCTCATAATAACTCTATAAAGCTGGAAGTGGGTGTAGAAAATTATAACTTTTATTCTTACTTTACAGATGAAGAAACAATCTTAAAATTTTTTTAAGTAACTTTTCCAAAGTTTAACAAGATCTGTCTGACTTGGCAAGAAATGTTTTAGCAAGTCAGCAGCAACCAATGATAAATGATTATATACTGAGTATTAAGAAAATATAATACTTTAATGTATTCGATATAATATGATTCATAACAAATTTAGGGGGCATTCCATATACAGTTCAGGCCTTAAGATTTTTCTTGTACATACATTCAACTTTTATAGCTGTCCAAAATATTTTGAGGCAAAATAGGACAGCAAAAATACCTCTAGTTAAACAGTCTTGCCTTTAGTCTCTAGCTCTGTAACCATGGGCAAGTTATTTGATATTTTTTGGGTCTCAATTAATACATTTCATTAGCTGGGTTTTTGTGATGATTAGTCATAATGTATTTAAAGTTTTAACAGTACATATTTAGAAGATCCTCAGTAAATGGTATTATTATTCCATGATTTTTCCAGACTGCCTTCTTCACTCAAAGGGACTTGGCCGTGAGCCTTTACAGCCTTTCCTCATTGGTGACTCCTTCATTGCTTGGAATGTCATGATTCATTAGCCAGGTTATTCTGTTCTACATGTATTTTTCTTCTATCTGGGAGCTCTTCTTCAGTCTTTTTTTCTCTAGCAACATCTTCAATGTTTATGCTTACAATAACCTTAATATTTAGTATTATGACACTAAATGTGCCTGTAAAACAGACTAACCACTCCTTACTTACCCCAAAGTATCCTTTAGAGAATTACAAGTTGTTCAACACATTCTGCCTACAGGGTAGCCCAAAGATCCTGGATCAACCAAGAACCCTATGAAGTCTGCACATATTCACTGAAGAGTACTGTGTAAAATACAAGACTTGGAGTATGTCCCCTTGAGGTCAGCACAGTGCTAAGGGGTGAAGAAAGTAGAGAGGGACAGGAAGTTTGTATTAAATTCAAACACTCTGGGCAAGAATTTACACAATCTCATACAACAGGGAATTTTATGCAAAGTACTTTAAGCAAAGTACATAATTTCATGATGTATCACTAAAGAGGATAAAATAAACAATTCTGAAAAAGTTGTTACAGGTGACTTAAAGATGAAGTATTGATGAGATACTATTCTAAAAATCTTATCCTATGTTATATTGAAAAAAGTGGCATCCTATAATTAGGGTAAGTCTTTAGTGAAAGTGGAAAGAAAAAAGGCTTACAAAACAAAAAATTTTTGAACATAGATATAAACAAAAACTTAATCTACCTTTAATTATCCCCTAGGTTAATTGTAAAATTTTTACTTCCTTTTTGTTTTGACATATGAAAATTATTAAAGCTGGTCATTTTGTCTTCTATTACTGGAATAATTTATTTAACACTACAGATGGTGTTAATATAATGAATACAGAACATCAATGAGAATCTTAATTATATCTCTTGAGACCTCCCTCATTCCAAGAGTGTGTTTAAGTGCATAATCTCTCATACAAAGAAAAATGCCACATAAATCACCATGACATTATAGAAGCAAATTCAAGAGAAAACAGAAGAATTTGTTAACCATTAAACTCTTCAAAACTAATTGTTAGAAGTAACAATCTATAGAATCTATACTAATGAAAGGGAATTATGTGTAGCCATTAAGAATAATGGACTTTGAAGTAAAAGAACTAGGCTTGAGTACATAACTCATGCTGTGCAGCTTTGGGCAAGTTACTTAATATACCTGGGCTTTTTTGATCAGTGAAATTAGATAATAATACTATCTCATAGAATTGCAGCCAGGACAAAAGAAAATAATACATGGAAAATCAGAGTGCTTAGCACAAAAAAAAGCTGAATAATCATTAGCTAATGTTATGATTACTATTAATTAAAGCTGTCCAAGATACATATCTGGTGTGTGATTACATTATATATTTTTCTATTTACCCACCCTGACAGTGCTTAAATCTTTTCTTTAGCACTATAAAAAAGTGGGTCTTAATGGAAATTTTTCATTTCATCCATTTTATAAACACAAATGATTTATGACGATATATCATATTTTAAGGATTTCTTTGTATTTGTCACAAAGATTATCAATATTTTTACATGAAAGAGCATCTACATACAGTTTTATTAGACTATTTAACGTTTACACACAATACAGAAATGTTTTTGAAACTGCAAAGTTCTTTGATAATTGCAGTATCATTTTCAAATAAGCATAGTATAACCTTAAATATTACATTATTCAGATTTTGTTTTTAAAAAGAGATAAACCTGTAAGAGATCACTCCAATTTAACTGTCCATTAACTATTTGTAGTAGCTGCTCCTAGTAACTGTTTCAGCAAATGGATGGCTCTTCTACTGCCTGGGCACCCTCTGTAACAGCTTTGACACACTTGGCCATTGTCTGTGAAGCTCTGCTAATTGAATCTGAAAGATATTAAGAAAATTTGCATTTTGATAATTTGCCTTTTTTTGTTTTTTGGCTTTTTTTTTGAGACAGATTGTCACTCTGTTGCCCTGGGTATACACCACAGCTCACTGCAACCTCAAACTCCTGGGCTCAAGTGATCCTCCCTCCTTGGCCTCCCAAAGTGGTAGGATTACAGGTATAAGCCACCATGCCTAGCTAATAATATGTCTTTTTAAAAAGCATAGTAAAACTTTATGTTGCATACATTCAGAGGAAAAAAAGATTGCAAGGTTCTATGCAATTATATGTAACCAATAAATTCCAAAGATAAGCTTCTTATTGGCTAAATGCTTTTAATAACTACCCCCTAGGAATGATTAATTAATTATATAACAGCTAGACAACACACCAGTATGCAACCATTAAAAAAATTATAGAACAGTGGCCAGGCACAGTGGCTCATGAATGTAATCCTAGCACTCTGGGAAGCCAAGGTGGGAGGACTGCTTGAGGCAAGGAATTGGAGACCAGCCTGAGCAACATAGCAAGACCCAGTCTCTACAAAAAATAGAAAAATTAGCCAGGCGTACTGGTGCATGCCTGTAATCCCAACTACTTGAGAGGCTGAAGCAGGAGGATTGCCTAAGCCCAATAGTTTGAGGTTGCAGTAAGTTATGAGGAAGCCACAAAGCCTAGCTCTAGCCTGGGTGACAGAGTGAGATTCTGTCTAAAAAAAAAAATAAAAACAAAACAAAAAAAATCATAGAAAAGTACTGAAAACGTAGAAAAAATGTACACAATGCTATTATTGAAAAAACGTTAAAAAACAGTGTATGTACTAAAATACATTGAATTGTACACTTTATGGGTGAATCAATTATGTATTCTACAATGAATATAACTTTTATAATATAACTAAAAGACCTATTAAAAAAATCTTAGATACAAACTATGAAAAATTAAAAAATATACTTCTATGTGCTTTTAGATAGAAAATTATTTAAAATCATCTATCAGCTATGTGGTATAATAGTTTATCAACTATTGTAACCATTGTAAGACTCTGCGGTAAACAAGTATCAGTTGGTCTTCATCCCTCAAAAATACTCTAACAGGCAGGGCGAGGTGGCTCACGCCTATAATCCTAGCACTCTGAGAGGCCAAGGCGGGAGGATCGCTCAAAGTCAAGAGTTCAAGACCAGCCTGAGTAAGAGTGAGACCCCGTCTCTACTAAAAATAGAAAGAAGTTAGCTGGACAACTAAAAATATATAGAAAAAATTAGCTGGGCATGGTGGTGCATGCCTGTAGTCCCAGCTACTTGGGAGGTTGAGGCAGAAGGATTGCTTGAGCTCAGGAGTTTGAGGTTGCTGTGGGCTAGCCTGACACGACAGCACTCTAGCCCAGGTAACAGAGCAAGATTGTCTCAAAAAACAAAAAATATTCTAACAATTTACATTAGAAACACTGTTTAAGATGTCTCACATTTAAATGTTTTGATTCTTCCACCTATAATTCTCAGAAAAACTTTCACAGTTATTTGCCACCTTGAAAAATTCTCCCTAAATTGCTATAGTGATTTTCCTTACAATAGCAAAATTTTATAATTAAGGCTGGGTGTGGTAGCTTTGATTACAGGCAAAGGCCTGTAATCTCAGCACTTTGAGAGGCCAAACTGGGAGGATAGTTTGAGGCCAGGAGTTGGAAAACAGACTGGGCAACACAGCAAGCAAGACCCCAACTCCACAAAAAAAAAAAAATTAGATGGGCACGGTTGTGTGTGCTTATAGTTCTAGCTACTCAGGAGGCTGAGGTGGGAGTATCACCTAAGCCCAAGAGTTTTAAGGCTGTAGTGAGCTATGATTGTGCTATTGTACTCTAGCTAGGGCAACAGAGTGAGATGCTGTCTTTAAAAATATATATAATAATAACTTTTAAAATTTTATATTTAAAACCTATTAACTCATTTGATTTTCATACTTTGTTTACATTTCAGAAACAAAAAAAATTAGAAAATAATTACATTAGTCCCCATGTTTGAAAACCTTCAAAGATTAAAAATGTAAAATACTACCAATTACAGGTTGGAATTATAATGCTAAATGAGATGATCTGATTCCTTCTCACCCTTCATATTTGGCAGAGTTATGTTTGCAGTTACATACCTGTCATGTAGAAGTCTTTTATAGTTAGCTGAGGTGGAACAAGTGGGTCAGCAAGAAGTTGCTGGTTCACTAGCTGCACACAAAAGGAGACCAATAATAGTATTGAAAACTAGTATTGTTACACCAGTAGATACGCCATTATGAAAACTGCTCATAGGTAAGCTTTTACCTTGGAGAGCTCATTTGCTTGCTGGAAGTAATTAGCTCCTTCAACATCATCATATCGAACAAGATTAGGAGAGACTTCTTCCAATCTGTTTCTCACTTGATCCAGAGTATCATATGGAAGAGTTATACCCGCAATCTACAATACATTCGGTCCGGAAAAAAATGACTTAAAGCTTTAACACTTAAAAATGCCATATAATATATATAATTGTAACTATGGTGAAATAATGCAATACTACTTAAAAATCTACTGGTGTCCATTAGCAGTCATATGTTTATTATAGAAGCAACAACGTGGGAAACACAAATGTTAAAAATTCTAATTCTTAAACAACTGTCAGTATATTAATAATTTAACTTTAGAAAATATTCATTATGAAATAAATGATTAGAAACAATGCTATGCTAAACCTAAATGCTTCTAACCTCTTATTAATGATATACAGTTTACAGATATATTATTTTAAATTTCACAATGCTTATTTTTATACCACAAGAGCTAAAAGAAGTGGTTTTAGACAAAAATAAATCAATAATAAAAGCACCAATTTCAAATCCCCATTTTCTGAACACATTTTTCCTATAGAAATTTTTCAAATCATCTCTGCATTTCAGACTGGCATCTTTCTTGACTTTGAAAATCATTCTAACAAGCTAACATGTCAAATATCCCTTTAGAACCGACACTTAGAAATGCCTCAAAAATAATACCTCAGAGAGGGCTCTTATAATTTTCCAATCTTCTCTTGCCAAGCCAGGAGGTGTTACTGCTACTTTAGTCTGCTGAGCTCTGCCCTCTGTATTGACATAAGTAGCAGATTTCTCTGTATAAGCAGCTCCTGGGAGAATAACATCAGCTATGGGAGCTCCAACATCACCATGATGTCCTGTGAGAAGATAGAAAATGGCAAACAACAATTTAGTAAAACACTGATTCACTATTATACACGAAGATAGTATAAATCCTTTTAAATCCCATTTGTAAATTTACAAAAGTATTTTTAAAATTAAACCAATATAGCAATAAAGAAATAAAAATTAAAGCCCACCTAACCCCCAATTCAACTCCTTTCCCAAGGAAAATTATTGTTAAAGCATTTGGTATGTATCTTCCAAGATTATTTCATGCAAATATGTATACTATCATACACACATGTATAATGGGCATCTAAGTATACTAATGCTTATAAAGTGGAAATGGTCACGAAATGGAAATGCTCAGCTGTACCAGTTAGTGAAAACTGGTAAAGTAGACTGCAATGGGGGAGGAACACAAAGTATAAAAGAGAATATGAGCAATAATAATACTGGAAAAGGCATGAACACTATATGAGAGGCCAGGCACAATGGCTCATGCCTTTAATTCTAGCACTTTGGGAGGCCGAGGCAAGAGGATTGCTTGACCTCAGGAGTTTGAGGCAGCAGTGAGCTATGATGATGCCACTGTACTCTAGCTAGCATGTGCAACAGAGTTAGACCCTATCCAAAAAGAAAAAAAAAAGAAAGGCAAATGATATTATAGAAAATAGTATTCTGAAAGACTATCAATCATTAATAATTTAACAAAACTGGCAGAAGAAAAAAGTTACTCAAAAAGAAACTTGACCTTTAGAAATAGACTTGAGTCAAGTAAAAGAAAGCTGTAGAACAATATACAGTTTAATCTCATTTGTGTACCTGGTTGTTACACACAGGAAGATGTATCAAGTATGCATGTCAAAACCGTCATCAATGATTATCTCTAGAAAGAACTAGGAATAGGATTTTAGTTCATACATTTTGGTTTAACTTTATCAAACTGAAGACACAAAATATTGTATAATGTTTTTATGTGCCACTACAATATAAAGCCTATTATAAGTGTATGGTGTGGCCGGGCGTGGTGGCTCACCCCTGTAATCCTAGCACTCTGGGAGGCTGAGGCGGGCAGATTGCTCAAGGTCAGGAGTTCCAAACCAACCTGAGCAAGAGTGAGACCCCATCTCTACTATAAATAGAAAGAAATTAATTGGCCGACTAATTAGCCGGGCATGGTGGTGCATGCCTGTAGTCCCAGCCACTCGGGAGGCTGAGGCAGTAGGATCACTTGAGCCCAGGAGTTTGAGGATGCTGTGAGCTAGCTGATGTCATGGACTCATCCACCCTGGGCAACAAGCGAGATCTGTCTTCAAAAAAAAAGTGTATGGTGTATGTGGTAACAATGAATCAAAAGTTATGCCAATCTTTTCTCCATAAAACCACTAGGAATACTCATTTTATTCTAGGCGAAATATGATTACATTACAATCGAGCTGGAATTCAGAAAAAGATTCAACACAAAAAGCCAGGTACTACTGTTCAAATGTAATTTGAAACTTCCTAAGTAATTTGACAGGACTCATAATTTTATAACGGTTCTTACTATTCTATATAAAGCTTCCCATGATTATATAGCGTCGATAGTAGTGCTAAATAGAGGATAGTTCTTTGAAAAGTTACTTTAAATTTATGTTTAATCATTCCACTGGTTACACACGATAATTTCTTCCTCCAGCCTCGTTGCTTCAAATGATCTCCTATTAAATAACATCCAGGTTAATATCATGTTTTTTGAAACGGTCTCACTCGGTTGCCAACCTGAGGCAGTGGCTTATCAAGATCACTACAATGCTCAAATTCCTGGCTCAAACAAGTCTCCCTGCCCAGCCTTCCTATGTAGCGGACTAGCAGTAACGCCTGCCACCTAGCTACGATTAAGTCCTGTTTTTTGTAGATGGATGAGTCCACTATACTTATCGTTCACAGTGTTGCAGACAATATTATATTCTTTATAGCAGTTTCATGTATGTATGTACACATAACATCCTGTGGTTTGCTTAAAAGAACTCCGTGGGCCGGCGAGTGGCTTCCCACCCTGTAATCCTAGCTACTCTGGGTAGTTCTTGATCGGCGTTACTGCTCATAGTCAGGAGTTCAAAAACCAGCCTAGCTGAGACTTCCGTCGTCTCTATACCCTTATAGAAGAATCAGAAAGAAATTAATTGGCCAACTAATATATCAAAAAATATCACAAGAATAATTCGCCGGTCAGTTTGTATGTGGTGCGGTGCTTGTTATCCCTAGCTTTACTCGTGGAGTTCTGAGCCAGAGATTCTTGTATGCCTGGAGTTCGGTTTGGAGTTTGCGTGACAGGCTTTGACCTTATGGCACTTCCTGTCTAGCCTCAGCGAAGGAACAAACCTGTCTCTAAATAACAATGAATACACGACATCGGGACTGAGGTATACTATATTCCAAATGGAAATATTCAGTCCGCTAAATATACAGTGCCAAATGTTTCTAATATACACATGTCCATTCTCCTTCTGTTTCTGTGCACAGTGATATTTACCTCTGATAGAATATAAAACAATCTTTGGCAAATCCTGTCGGTGATAAACCGTCCATGACTGCTTCCCAGGGAAACAGCCACTTTGGAGGTGTTTTGCGAACTTGCTTCCACCCAGTTTTAGCCAAGCATCAAAGCACTACTTGACTTTCTAATCTTGTAACACAATATTGATTTTGGTTACAAACAACAGCTGTTTCAGCTGTCAACAGTAATGTGATTCCTTGAAATGATGCCTAATCTTTCATTCAATGCACGTCAAAGATCCTTTCTTATTTACTTAAAAAACAAGAACCAGAAACAGGACATGTCTTAGTGCTTGCATTTCAAACAAAGAATATAAAATGCTTAAGGCTTTGTATCTCTTCTTGAGGTATATTTAATGGAAAATCTGAAACTCTTATGGTCAACTGTAAATTGCCTTAAGTTTGACTCTACTATACAGTAATACATATAAACCAAACCAATATTCATTGGAGAAAAGCACATGATTTCAAAAGTCAAAAGGACAAATTAAACTCATAAAACTATATTCAGAGAAAATCATAATCTCAGTAAACATTGATATGTCCTAATGCGATTTTTTATATGAAGTATATACTCTATACTTTACTTTGTATTTTATTTTTTGAGACAATGTCGCACTCTGTTGCCTGGCTACGAGTGCCATGCACAAGCCTACGTCCACACAACTCGAACTCTGGTTCAATGATCTTCTGACTCAGCCTCTCAATCTACAACAAGCTGGGACTGACAGGCATGTCACCATCGCCTGCCTAATTTTCTATATATTGGGCTTTAGGTGGCCAATAATTTCTGTTCTATTTTAGTAGAACGGTGTCTGCTCTTGCTCCAGCGCTGGTTCGATCTGACCTTGAGCGATCCTCCTGCTGCTCCAAAGTGGATTTAGGGGTGAGCAACTAGCTGCCTAGACAATTCCTCTTGAAACAATGGTTATTTGTCTGGTTTACATATTGTTAACCTTTAGAATATGCGCCAATTTTAGATCTACAGTATATAATGTAACATTCGGTACAACTTCTGCTACACAAATTGGAAGCATACACGTCAACGACTCAGAATGTTATCCTGTTCCCCAATAGTTCTGCTTTTAAATCTAGCCTAAGAAACGATTACATGTTCAGAGGTATCGTATCCACGCATTATTTAAAATAATTCAAGGCACAGTGGCTGTCACCTATAATCCAGTGCTTTGAGAGGCTGACAGCATCTCTACACGGCCAAGGTTGAAGCTGGGTGAGCGTATGATCCTAACAACACTGCCCCTCTAGCCTTGTGACCACCTGCGAATTCATCTCTAAAAATAAATAACAAACAATAAAAATCTAAGACTAAACAACCATAACATACATGTTCAAAAAGTGGCTAAAAAATATTATTTCATGGCATTCAATCGTAACCATAACAACTTTATTATAAAGAATTTCTAATCATGAGAAAATCATTTCTTATTGGTAACACACAAACATTGTACTTCACAGTAGAACTTCAACTATATACCCGACTAAAACATTCTATACAAAAACCACATATATCCACCAGCAAACGGTAATAACTGAGTAGCACCTACAGTGGACACATAGTACTATAGTAATAGGTATTGGGAGGGGGCGCGGATCCATACAACCATAACGAGTGACATGTGCACCATCTGAGGGATGGTCATGCTGGAAACTCAGATTTGTGGGGGGGAGGGGGGGAAAGGGCATTTATTGAAACCTTAAAATCTGTACCCCCATAATATGCCGAAATAAAAAAAAAACAGCAGAAAAAAATGCACTGAAATGGCAATACTAATTATCTACAGATTGTAGAATAAGGATCCTTTCCATTTTTGTGTTTTCTTCTCTTCCTAAATTTTCTAAAATATACCTGCATTATTGATACAATTAGAAATAGAGCCTTCACCTGAAGTCTCATGTTAGCTTACAGTTTTTTGTTTTTTTTTTAGCGTATTATGGGGGTACAGTGTTAAGGCTACACATATTGCCCATTCCCTCCTCCCCCCTCGAGTCAGAGTGCTTACAGTTTTATCATTTAATCAAAGTCAGAAGCTTGTTTGTAGTTTTTGAACCAAAGTATAACTGATATGATACAATTTTTAAGTATTCAATTTTTTCAAAACTCACTGCTATTTCAGGTATTTTAAATATTACTTATTATCTTGGGTTCTTCTCACATAAGAATAAGGATTTATATTTCACATCACAACTGGGATAATATTGCTAAATGTTAGGTTGTTGTAAAACTAAATGTGACAGTGTATCAGGAATACATATACACAAAGCTACTTGAATTTTATAGTACATAAAACTCAACAAACCTATGAAGGATATTCATAACTTTCCAATCACCAGGAACACCACTAGTCATCCGAATCTTTTGTGCAATGCTGGAAACAGCTGCAAGAATTGCTGCTCCATCATTTCTTTGGAGTGCAGAACTCCCTAAAACCACCATTGGTTTTTTAGCTTCCTTTAGGACCTATTAAAAAAAAAAGAACTTTGATTTAAAAATATTATAAGTAAACTAAACACCTAGCCAAACTTGCATCTATAATACATATTGTCCCAAACTTTAGGTCTAACATGAATATCTTTGTCTTGCTAGCCAACATATATAGTACAACCAGATTTAGTTTAATCAAAAGCATTTTGCCAAGGCTACTGTGAAATCAGATAAAATAGGTTTTTTAAAAGTAAGCATTAGGAATTTAAATTCTAGCCAACTATCCTTTGGTCAGAATGACTACAGGCAGGTCCCAGAAAAATCAGGAATATCCCCAAAGATTTAGATGTTACTAAAGAATAGGAAAAACCATGCTGAAGTACCATATCTACTATCTCTTATCTACTCACCACACTGCAGACAGGGAGGTAGGAAAAGCAGTGATTACTAAAATGTAGAATACTTTAAACTCTAAGGGCTTGCTTTAAACCATAGTAACTTTCTAAATGCCAAAACCTGAGGGGAATGTATCCCAGGGGTAAAGAAAACTACACATGTGGTGGAAGATGGACAAATAAGAAGTAAAGCTATACACTATACAGCTTATTCTTCCACCTGTCTTCTGTATCATTCTTCAATAAATAGCTGGCCACAATTATCAAAGAATCATTATGGGAATTATGCTGAGATACTACAAAGAGGAGTACATTCATCACAAGAGGAATTTCTCAAGGAAATGTGAATAGTTCAAAGAAATAATTTGTAATAGTTTCAAAGAAAATGAAAAGCAACACACTCTTACTTAAAAAGAGCTCAGACAAGTCACTCAGTAGAGAGTATCATATGGTAAAAGGAGACTTTTATCATGCAACTCAGGAAAGAACAGGAAGAGAAACAAATTATAAAAATGAACACCATTCTAGAAACAATAACAAACAAAAAAATAAAAAATGCCTGGAAATACAGGGACAGGAAAGACAAGATATAGGAAATGATACAAACTGGGGGAAAAAAAACACAAAAAACAAGGACAAATGACGGAGATGAAAGATAGAAAAGGAGATCCAATATCTGCATTGTTAAGTGTCCTTAATGAAGAGAACAGAACTAATTAATGGAAAATATATTTAAATCTATAACAGAAAACTTTCCTTAAGAACACTAGTCACCTATTAGATAGGGATGAAAGCCAGAGAGAACTGACTAGTTTTTAATATTTTTTTCTTTGCGACCTGGGAGCAAAGATTTAAGTTGCCCTGAATATACACTCCCTACTTTTTTAATATTCTTGATCTTTTAATCATTATATGTTTTTCCTATTCAAAATAAGTTAGCTTGGCTGCCTTGTCCTCTTGCACTTCACCTTCTTGCTTACACCTGAAACTAAGCAAAGCATCCATTTTGGAACCACAGGTTAGGCTCACACACAAACTCATGTGAGCAAGCAAATGCACTGAGGATAGCAAAGCAGGAAGGCAGGCTTTCCTTGATGACATTCGTGAATAATGGAATCATGCTTCAAAGTGCCCAACTCCAGATCCCTTGTTATGTGAGAAACAGAAACCCCTTAGTTTTTTAAACACCACCAACACAATCACAACCACCACCACCATGCACACACACACAAAATCCTAAAATAAAGATAATCTTGAATCTTCAGCCCAAAAAGTACACTATGTCATATAAAATACCACCATTAAGACATATTTTGGTCAAATTATTGAATTTCTAGGATAAAGAGTCAAATATAAAGTCTCAAGGATAAAAGATCCAGATAGGAAAAAAGAAATCAGGACAAGGTCAGGGAAGAATAAGGCTGCTGACTTTTTGCTTCTCCACAGTAACAAAAGGCAGTGTTCATAAGGTCAGAAAGGAAAAAAAGTGTGACCCTAAAATATCACATCCTGACAAGCTGTCTCTTCAGGAATAAAACAGACATTCTCAAGCAAGCAAAAACTCAAGGAACAGGTAAAATTTCTTTAAGGAATAATAGTTATTGAAGTAAAGAAAGATTCAATTAAAGTGGAAAACTTAATTCTTTCAGTTTTACTTATTTCCAAATAATTTCAAGGAAATTAAACCCTGGTAAGTAAAAAACAGCACACACAGTATGATTTCATTTTTGTTTGCCTATCTATTCATCCATCTTGCCTTATCTACGTATAAAAAGAGAAATGATTACGATGCTTCATCAATACTTGGTTTAGGGTGGTGGTATTTTGAGTGATTTTTTACTTTTTTCTATGTTCTTTTCTGTATTCCTATCATTTTTAATAATAATCACATATAATGATTATAAAAACAAATTTTAAAATCATAATTAAAAAGTCAGCAAGAGTAGACACACATAACTTGAGAGTACCTGGCTAAACGAATGGCTACCCGAAGCAATGTCTTGAAGAATTTTGGGGGAATCTCCCAGGTGGTCATATGTGTAAGTGAGGTCCACTGGACTACCTATAAGGGCCACTTTTAAGTCATTATGAAGCCAGCTGAAATAAAAACATTTTTAGAGCTAAATAACTAAGTTAAGCATATTTACTGGTCTCATCAATGCTAAGTGCTGTTTACTGTTTACATCAATGCTAAATGACTCTTTACTATTACTAAATGTTAAAAGCTTACATAGCACATTTAATAAATACAATTTACTGTGTACATTTCAAAATTGTGTTGCACAAATACATGCCAAAACAATTACATTCATTAATTTACTATATAGGAAAAGCTAACAATTAAGCAAGCTATAAACAAAGATTTTAATTACAGAATAACTGATCTGTAATTTTTATTTTGTAGTAGTCACACAGCAAGGTCAATTATCTCTTAATTACCCAAAAAGCATTTAAACTTAGTTCATGAAAACAAACTACTTCATTCATATTTATTTTCTATTGCAGGGAACTATAGATCCAACTCCTCCAAAAATAAGTCATAAGTGAGGTAATCATATATTCTGGTTTGTCTGAGACAATGCTGGCTTTACCTGATACCCTGAAGTGCTTAGCAACTCCCCCTTGCACTTTCAACAGTGCCTCAGTTTAGACAATAAATTAAACAGTTGCCCTCCTTATTAAGTTTCTAAGATATAAATAAAAGAGATGAGAGATTCTAACATACAGAATAACTGGCGTCTGCCCTTCAAGAAAAGTAAAAGAGAGGGCCAGAAGTGTCAAGAGACTAATTGCAACGTGTGATTCCAGACTGGATCCTGGGCAGAAAGAATAATTGCTATAAAAGAAATTAGGGGGCCAGGCATGGTGGCTCATGCCTGTAATCCTAGGACTCTGGGAGGCCAAAAAGGGAATTGGAGTCTGAGCAAAAGCAAGACCCCATCTCTACTAAAAATAGAAAAATTAGCTAGGAGTCCTGGCATGTGCCTGTAGTCTCGGCTACTTGGGAGGCTAAGGCTGGAGGATTGCTTGAGCCTAGGAGTTTGAGGTTGCCGTGAGCTATGATGATGCTACTGCACTCTACTTGGGGCACCCAAGCAAGACTGTCTCCAAAACAAAACAAAACAAAACAAAAAAAAGACAATGACTACAAACAATGACCAATTCTTTACATTTTAAAATAAAAGTTTAAAAATTAAAATAAAAAACGAAATTATGGGAAAGTTGGTGGAATCTGAATATAAACTCTAGATTAGATAATGATATTATATCAATACCAAATTTCTTGATAACTTAAGAAAATGACCCTTGTTCTCAGAAAATCCTCCCTGAAGTATTTAGTGATAGAAGGGCACCATGGCTACAACTAACTTCCAAATGATTGAGAAAATTATATTCACACATTTATACAAACTGAAAGAGAATCATAAAACCTATATGACAAAATGTTAACATCAGTTAATCTGAGTGGACATATAAAAATAATATATAAAGCCCATTTAAAGCATCTCAAATTATTTTAAAATAAAAAGCTAACGAAATAAAAAGATCAGCAAATAGGAGGGGGAAATCGACCTATTAGAAATTGTCTTCCAATTATTTTTTGGAGTCTCACAACCACTAACCCTATTAGTAATCAGTTAAAATGTTATTTTTTATATATAAAACAGGAAAAAATTACATAAATATTTTTAAAACCCTGAATAAAAATTATTACCAACCTCTTGCGAATTCTAGCATTGAATAGTGGTGCCTCAAAACGTGGATTTGTACCAACCAAAAGGACAACATCAGCCTCTTCCACGCCAGCAATTGTAGTATTAAGAAGATAATTGGAACGCAAATCTGTGCTAGAAATAAAATATACAAAATGCAAATTTACTTTAAAACTATTACATACCAAGAATCCATAAAATATTGTCATTATCATCAAAGCTATGGCATTCCCAGACAAAAAAATTCATGAAGTATTTCTAAATTAAACCAAAGTTTCACATATTTATTAATAACTGGATTCTCCTATCTCCTGTAGCTCCTGGTTTGATTTCGGTCTATATGTGAAAATAAATTGGGGGGTATATTGGAGAATCCAGGTTGTCACATATTCACTGATGCCGTAGACATGGTTGTTTTATACATAACTTGTAACTAAAAGAAAAATAGAAAGCCTAGATCCCAGCTTCATATTTCTCACCCAGCTCCTGCAGTGGGGAAAACCTCTTCAGTGCATAAGGTGTCGGAGTCCACTCTATTAAGCAAATCTTTGAGAGCTACTAGGGCTTCAGCATCCACCAAGCCACCTGCAATTGCTGCCACATCCTTGCCTTGAAAACTCTGCAGCTAGAAATGGATGGAAAGGATATCACCAAAAACTTACATTCAGCAAAGACCAAAATGAACTGTTCAGAAAATAAAAGGACAATCATTTCCAACTACCAAAAAGTAACAAACTTCAGACTAAAGAGTTTTACATTATTAATCTAAAAGTGAGAAGCAGAAGAGGTGTACGTGGGGCCAATACTAATGACACCACCTTGGAAGGAAGTTGTTTTATATTTAGGAACAAAGGTGCTTCAAAATGAGGTCTGGAGAATGAAGACTGTGGAGTTATAGTTATGTTAAATGCAACCTCCCCTGAAGTATCTGCTATTCCCTCCAGCCCTTTGTCTATGTTGCCTTTCTCTGACCAGAAACTATCTCCTCCACTTTTGCTCTGGCAAGCTCATAGTCATTCTTACTTAGACTTGCTTAAAAGAATCACCTTCTCTATTCTCTAGAAAGGCATCTTGATACACTAGTCCTAGTTAGGCATCCCTTCCTATGTGCTCTCTCTCCTATCACTTTGTGTACAACCACCCATAGCAGCATGTCATAATTGCTGAACTATGCAACTTTCTCTACTACAAGATTGTGTCAGTGGTCTTATATCCCTGTATCTAGCATATATGGCATATGGTTCTCAATAAATGTTTGTAAAATGGAAAATTAATCATAATCTTGGTAACAGGAAAGATGGGAAGAGACACACATTCCGTCTCTTCATGGCAAAGATGTTTCTTGAAAATCACAAACACTATTCCATATTTCAATTTTTTACCATTCCAGCTACACGAGAGAGTGCATCCTCCCAGGAGGTATAAGTTAAAAGCCCCTTTTCATTTCTGACCATCGGCTCTGTAAGTCTCTGACGTTTTAGCCCATCATAGGCAAATCTAGAAAACAGAAATTATACATACCATTTGTGGACTCTCTCTAAAGAGGCAATCATGATTTTCAAGTTTAAAATCTACAAGAAATGTTATTTTATTTTATTTTTTTGAGACAGAGTCTCACTTTGTTGCCCAGGCTAGAGTGAGTGCCGTGGCATTAGCCTGGCTCACAGCAACCTAAATCTCCGGGGCTCAGCGATCCTACTGCCTCAGCCTCCGAGTAGCTGGACTACAGGCATGCGCACCATGCCCGGCTAATTTTTTGTATATATATTTTAGTTGGTCAATTAATTTATTTCTATTTTTGGTAGAGACGGTCTCGCTCAGGCTGGTTTCGAACTCCTGACCTTGAGCAATCCGCCCGCCTCGGCCTCCCAAAGTGCTAGGATTACAGGCGTGAGCCACAACGCCTGGCCCAAGAAATGTTATTTAAATACAGTATTGGACAAAGTGTCAAATAGAATAATAAATAACTACTAAAGTCAGTTGTATCATATTTTCTATATAAAGCTAAGATTTCAATAGTCTATATTCATTAACTAATTTGTAAATATACATTAGAGTTCTTTATAAAATTTCCTTTATTTATTTATTTTTTGAGACAGTCTCACTTTGTTGCCCGGGCTAGCGTGCCATCGCATCAGCCTAGCTCACAGCAACCTCAAACTCCTGGCCTCAATCGATCCTCCTGCCTCAGCCTCCCGAGTAGCTGGGACTACAGTCATGCACCACCATGCCCAGCTAATTTTTTCTATATATATTTTTAGTTAACCAACTAATTTCTTTATATTTTTCGTAGAGATGGAGTCTCACTCTTGCTCAGGCTGGTTTTGAACTCCTGACCTTGAGCGATCCACCTGCCTCGGCCTCCCAGAGAGCTAGGATTACAGGGTTCATGTGAACCACCATGCCCTGCCTGAAATTTCCTTTAAATCAAGTGCAAAAGTTAAGGAAATCAATGTAGCATATACCTGGTTTTATCAGAGATCCACTCTTCATTGATGTCCTCATGCATACGTGGCAAGATCCTCATTACTTCTCCAGTTCTTGTGCTAACCACAATATTACTTCCAACTGCATCCATTACATCAATGGATTCTGTCTTTCTGAAATAATAAACACATATATTTACTATGTTGATTTTGAGAATAAAGACAAAGTTTGTATTACCCAGTTTACAAAAAAAATTATTTTAATAATTCTTTCTGAATTTCTAAAAATAATGGAGCTCATAGGAATTGCTAATAAAAATGTACCTCATATTTGAACACATTGCATAAATTCCTCATGCAATAATAAAGGCTTTAAAACCATTATCTGACACAAAAACCAGTTTCAAGGGGCTCTGACTAGCCAAATCCAGGGCAACTGGAATATTAAAATAAACAGCAAGAGGGGTAGCATTTTTGGCTATGAGAGATTAAGGAACTTGATAAATCCTCCCCCCAAAAAGCAAAAAGAAAGCTGGACAAAAATGACAAAAAAACCCACCATTTCAGTGCTTTGGAACTCTACCAAAGGCATACAAGAAGAGGAGAAGCTTTTATGCATTGAAAAAATGACTTTACTTTGAGAATGGTAGAAATCTGTGGTGGTTGGGCTCAGTGCCGCTCCTATTCCCCTTCCCACTACCCCCAACTGGTAGTTCTTTCAGGGTGGGGCAATCTGTAAAGATGGAGACAACTCATTTATTTTGGAATAATGGGCAAACTTGTCTGTGGATGTGAAATCTTGGAAGTTGTTCTAAAAGTCTACTAGCCTGCAGCTCTAGTCATATTTGGGACAAACATTCCTAGCTGAGGTTGCACATATGAAACCAGAGGCCTCAACTTAATTCATACACTCCTGGACAACACTGAGAGTGATAGGGCCCAGCAGAAAGTAAAGGCTGGGCAGACTTGAAAATAGCCTGAACTTTGAATATACTCCTCTAATCTATCTACAGACCCCCAGGCAAACAATGGAAGTCTTATTGCCTCAAGGTATTTAAGCACAATCATTATCTTTTTTTTTTTTTTTTGAGACAGTCTCACTTTGTTGCCCAGGCTAGAGTGAGTGCCGTGGCATCAGTCTAGCTCACAGCAACCTCAAACTCCTGGGGTCAAGCGATCCTACTGCCTCAGCCTCCCGAGTAGCTGGGACTACAGGCATGTACCACCATGCCCAGTTAATTTTTTCTATATATATTAGTTAGCCAATTAATTTCTTTCTATATATAGTAGAGACGGGGTCTCCCTCTTGCTCAGGCTGGTTTCGAACTCCTGACCTTGAGCAATCAGCCCGCCTCGGCCTCCCAGAATGCTAGGATTACAGGCGTGAGCCACAGCTCCCGGCCTTAAGCACAATCATTATCTGACTACTAAGCTATGCAGACAAGGGAACTCCTAAGCCTCAATTAAAATATGTTCAAAGAACCACAGAAACCATGTTTAAAGAATTAAAGGGCTGGGGGCAGTGGCTCACGCCTGTAATCCTAGCACTCTGGGAGGATGAGGCAGGCGGATTGCTCGAGGTCAGGAGTTTGAAACCAGCCTGAGCAAGAGGGAGACCCCGTCTCTACTATAAATAGAAAGAAATTAATGCAACTAAAATATATAGAAAAAAATTAGCCGGGCATGGTGGCACGTGTCTGTAGTCCCAGCTACTTGGGAGGCTGAGGCAGGAGGATTGCTTGAGCCCAGGAGTTTGAGGTTGCTGTGAGCTAGGCTGATGCCACGGCACTCACTCTAGCCTGTGCAACAAAGTGAGACTATGTCTCAAAAAAAAAAAAAAAAAAAAATTAAAGGTCCTGGGACGGAGCACAGTGGCTCAGGCCAGGAACGGAAGACCAGCTTGGGCAATACAGCAAGACCCTATCTCTACAAAAAGTTAGGCTGAGGCAGGAGGCCAGGGAGTTTGAGGCTGCAGTGAGCTATTATCTTGCCACTATATTCCAGCCTGGGCAATAGAGCAAGATCCTGTCTTCAAAAAAATAAATGAATAAATAAACAAAAAATTTATTATTCAAGGGGAAGTATGGCAAATGACAACTAGGAATCAACACATAGAGATTCTCAGTAAGGAACAGAATTATAAAAAAACAGAAAACAGAAATTCTGGAATTGAGAAGTACGATCAGAGAGCAATTTGATGGTATGTTTCAAGAACCTTAAAAATATTCAAACCTCTTTCATCTATCTACTCCATTTCCTGGTTTAATTGGAAGAATCAGAAATATATAAATTTATGAACAGCTATGTTTTCCACATATTTGTACTTGTAAAGAAATACAAACAAGCTAAATGTCTAATAAGAGGAACTAGTTAAATAAAATATGACATATCCACATGGTGGAAAACTTAATATACAATAATAGAAGAGACTATAAATATAAAATATTAAGACTACAGGGTACCCCAAAAGTCTCCATACAAAGGAAAATTTTTGTAATAAATATTTTGTAAATAAAGGTACATTTAGCTACAATTTCCTATTTCCCCTATGTATGGCAACTTTTGGGACACTGTATTTTACTCCTTGGAAGAAAAAGTGAAAAAAATAATTTTTTCGTTACTTAATTTTTAAATTTATTTTTATACTTTGAGACAGAGTCTCGCTCTGTCATCCCAGGTAAAGTGTAGTGGTGTCATCGTAGCTCACTGCAACCTCAAACTCTTGGGCTCAAGCAATCCTCTTGTCTCAGCATCCTGAGTAGCTGGGACTACAGGCACATACCACGACGCCTGGCTAATTTTTCTATTTTTAGTAGTGATGGGTTCTCGCTCTTGCTCAGGCTGGTCTTGAACTCCTAAGCCCAAGCAATCCTCCCTCCTAGGCCTCCCAGGGTGCTAGGATTTCAGGCATGAGCCAGCACACCTGGCTGGTTAAGTACTTTAGAATTAATTTCTAACAAAACTATAATTAATTTTTATAGGTTCATTCATTCTACCTTTCAACTACTAATCTTCCATTAAAAGGGTCTTACTTAAAGTAAATAAAAACTTAGCAGACCAAAACAAGTGAAACGCAGGAAGAAAATGTACTATTTTTTAAATAATAGTGAATTAAAGATAACAAATTGTCGAAAAATACAAAGATGAATACCTTGTTTCCCAAGGCCGGGCAGTAAAGGCATAAGGCTTAGAGGTTAGGGCACCTACAGGGCAGATATCAATGATATTCCCAGACAGTTCAGACATGAACATCTTTTCAATATAGGTGCCAACTTGCATATCATTTCCTCTGCCTGTAGTTCCCAAATCATCTACTCCCGCAATCTCACTCGCAAACCTACAAGATAAAAATGTGCTGTCAAATGGTCAAGTCCAGCAAAATTATTTTCTTTCCTATTTATGATCATAAAGAGATAATGATTTTCAAAACACTAAAAAGAAATGAAGATATTTTCAATGGTGAGAATAGTCCCTGAATAAAAAATAATTCAGTAAATATTTGCATTTAAACTGAGGTAGATCATACAAATAGAAAATTATACAAATCATGTGTATAGCTTATCAAGTTAACAGAGTGAATGCTTGTACCTTTTAATTTTTAAATCCAACTGAAATTGGTATTAACTGAAAGTGAACTTACTCATTTTATTGGTATAAGCAAAAAACATTAAAAACAACATCCCTCTTCTCTGCCATCCTTTCCAGTGTTGTTATTCACCAAATTTTGTAAGTATTAAATAAGTATACAGTGATATTCCAAAAGGGAAAAGGAAAAATATTACCTGATGCAGCGAGTACACTGTATACATCTAGTCATGATGGTCTTTACCAACGGCCCAATGTTCTTGTCCTCCACAGCACGTTTTCCTTCTAAAAATCGACTCCTATCATTTCCAAACATCATGGACTGGTCCTTAAATAGATTATGAAAGAGTCAATCTACTGCTGCTAATGAAATTAAAAGTTGAGCCAACCATAAAAATTTATGAAATTTGAGTACATACTTGAAGATCACATTCACCTCCCTGGTCACAAATAGGGCAGTCCAATGGGTGATTTGCTAATAAGAACTCCATCACACCTTCTCTATACAGAAAATTGTAATATAAAAAGTGACATAAATTGTTGGCACTCAAAATGGCTTACCTATAGGCTCTGGAAACAACCTTCACTGATGTATACTTTCTAATATAGTTAATATTAATTTTACATTGTTATCAGAAATGCTCATGTAACTATCTTTCTGGTAGTATCAAATACACTATCTGGAAAATGCTTATAGAGTCCAGAGTAAAATATCAGAAAACCTAGAAAATTATGACTTTTGACATATAGAATTATCAGAAGTTGCTGAATGGTCCTCAGAAAATATTCTCATTGCTGAAATAATCTCAGCCCAATAAGCCACAGATTCACTGCTCATCACAAATTGAGCAAGTTACTAAACAAAGATTTTTGATGCTGATCTCATCCTAGGCTTAATATGATAAAGTCCTGACTTGCCCTCTACTGTGTACAAGTACTCACTTCCACTGCTTTTAGAAGCTATACCAACTTCTTCAGACTTTGGTATGAAATTCTTCATCTATAGAAAGATCTAAATACCGAAATATGGAATTTTCTACTCTAAGTAAGGCTACCACATTGAGCAACAATAAAGTACCTGGCTTTCTTGGATTTTTCTGAGTTTGTCAAGATATTCCAACCCTTCATTACTGGCATGGCACAGGCAGCTACAACCTGGAATTTCAATGGAAAAATCTGTATTTATTTATTTGTAATTATAAGCAACTCAATATATAAAAATGTTAAATTACATAAAAGCATTATACATTTGAAAACGAGCAAATACAGTATTTTTTAAACTTTTTAGAGTTTTCATAATCTGGCATTTCACATTTCTCTTAGAAACAAAACATCCTACTTCTTAAGTTTATTCTAGGCTGGGTGCAGTGGCTCATGCCTATAATCCTAGCACTCTGGGAGGCCAAGGCGGGTATCCTTTGAGCTCAGGAGTTCGAGACCAGCTTGGGCAAGTGCAAGACCCCATCTCTACTAAAAATAGAAAGAAATTAGTTGGTCAACTAAAAATATATAGAAAAAATTAGCTGAGCATGGTGGCACATGCCTGTAGCCCCAGCTACTCAGGAGGCTGAGGCAGGAGGATCGCTTGAGCCCAGGAGTTTGAGGTTGCTGTGAGCTAGGCTGACAACACGGCACTCTAGCTGGGGCAACAAGAGTGAGACTCTGTCTCAAAAAAAAAAAAGTTTATTCTAATAGTCAATGCAATTTCTTTTGATTTGGGTTTTTTTTTTTTTTTAGACAAGGTCTCACTCTGCTCTGTCACCCAGGATAGAGTGTAGTGGCACAATCATAGCTATAGCTCACCCCACCTTGAACTCCTAGGCTCAAGTGATCCTCCCACCTCCGCCACCCAAGTACTGAGACTACAAGCATGTGCCACAACGCTGGGCTAATTTTTCTATTTTGTGTAGAGATGGAGTCTCACTCTTACTCAAGCTAGTCTTGAACTCCTGGCCTCAAGCTATCCTCCTGCCTTGGTCTCCTAAAATGCTAGGATTATAGACGTGGGCCACCATCCCTAGCCCTCAATGCAAATTTTTATTCTGCTCTGAAACAGAACATCAAAGAACTATGCTTTGCTTAACAGGCACTACTGAATAAAAATTATATATGCCAAACTATAATTAAACTACAGAAAGTAAATCTCTTCCCTGCAACCGTTTTCTCTACTGAAAATGGCACAGCATCTGCACTTTTTTTTTTTTTTGAGACAAGGTCTTGCTCTTCCTTAGGCTGGTCTCAAACTCCTGAGCTCAAATGATCCACCTGCCTCAGCCTCCCAGAGTGCTAGGATTATAGGCGTGAGCCACCACGCCTGGCAAACTTTTTTTTTTTTATATACAGGGTTTCATTCTATTGCCTGGGTTGGAATGCAGTGGTGTCATCATAGCTCACTACAACCTCAAACTCCTGGGCTCCAGAGATCCTCTTGCCTCGGCCTCCTGAGTAGTTGCGACTACAGGTGTGCACCACCAAGCTCAGCTAATTTTTTTATTTTTTATAGACACGGGGGTCTCACTATGTTGTCCAGGCTGGTCTTGAACTCCTGGCCTCAAGAGATCTTCCCACCTCTGCCTCTCAAAGGGCTAGGATTATAAGCCTGAGCCACCATGCCTGGCCAACATCAGCACTTCTAATGTTGGTTGGCAACTCCACATCCTAAATGTCTGTCATATAGTCATTTAGAAATACCAACAGCTATAAGAAATCATCTTTAATTTCTAGATCTGTTACAATTATATAGATCTGGCACTTGTGTTTATAAAGCATTTCCACCAATGCGTTTCTAGTTTTGAAATGGAAAGAATCAATCACACAAAAAATTTATTTATAGATAGAAGTAAACAGGGCTAGGTTCTCCACTACAACAATATTGATTTTAAATAAAGTTTGCTGCAAGATTTAAAGTGTTCTACCTTCTACAGCATGGTATAGAATTTTAGGTATCAAATACCTTAGGAGCTTTCTCAATTTCAACAAGGCACATCCTGCAGTTTCCAGCAACAGACAACCTTTCATGATAACAGAATCGGGGGATCTGCATGCCAACTTTCTCACAAGCCTAGAAGACAAGTAAAACATTTTTTGCATTAGAATAATTTGACCTCACTTCTGTTCTTGCTAAAACACACACACACACACACACACACACACACACACACACACACGGCCATCTTATTACTCTTGTCCCTTTTTATTTGTTCATTCTTACTTCAGTCCTTGAAGAGATTTCCTGTCTTCTTTGCTCTTTACCCCAACCCATTTGCTTACAAGCTGCCTTAGAGGATCTAAGAATTCTCCAGTATGCCTTCCACTTACATGGAAGTATCTTTGGACTGTGTTGAAGACTTGACCTCCCAGATCCATTTTGAACTGTTGTCTACAATGTCCCTTCAAACTCTGTCCCAGTGGTCTCATACCTGTAGTTCCTCTTTTCCTTGCTCCCCTCCTCCGGATCAAAGACTCATTCCACACTATCCAGCTGGCTATGATCTATCTTTGGCTCCATATCCCCAACCCAAGATACACACTCCTACTAGGGCTGAAGCTCTTCCCAGCTCCTCTGTAAAAGGGATTATTAGCCCTGCTCTGCCAATTACCACCCCTCCTTCTCTGCAAGTTCCTTTTTTTTTTTTTAGCCTATAAACACATTCAAATTTATTCTACAGTTAGTTCTTCTACCCTCAGCCTCACTCTAAAGCAATCTCATTAATTTCCAACTTTTTTTTTTTTTTTTTTTGAGACAGAGTCTCATTCTGTTGCCCAGGCTACAGTGAGTGCCATGGCATCAGCCTACTTCACAACAACCTCACTCTCTTGGATTCAAGTGATCCTCCCGCCTCAGCGTCCCAAGTAGCTGGGACTACAGGTATGTGCCACTGTGCCTGGCTAATTTTTTCTATATATTTTTAGTTGGTCAATTAATTTCTTTCTATTTTTAGTAGAGACAGGGTCTCACTCTTGCTCAGTCTGGTTTTGAACTCCTGACCTTGAGCAATCCTCCCGCCTTGGCCTCCCAGAGTGCTAGGATTACAGGTGTGAGCCACTGCACCCAGCCAATTTCCAACGTTTTAACTATTTAGTTAGCAAAAATGTATTAAGTGTTTCCTTTGTGCTAAATGCAGTAGGTATAGCAGTACACAAGACAGACACCTTAGGCTTCATACTAGCTTACACTCCATGTGATGATTACATCCAAAACCTCCATTGCAGCCCTGATAGTCTTTCACTTCTCTAGCCCGCAGATTTCAACAGGCATTTGCATGTGTATGTTCTACACATAGCTTAAATCCAACATACTTTTGTCCCCTAAGGACATTCCCAAATAAGCTAACAAAGCCAGAAAACCCACAGAAATTCCTCTACTCACTTTGAATTTTAAACAACTATCTCTGTTGAAAACTTTTTCTTTGTTTTTCTCCCATTAAAGCGATATTGGGGAATTATATACAATTAAAAAACATTCTTCTGCTCTTCATCATTCCTAAAGGCCTTCTTACATCTCATTCTCCCTTGAATCTACCCTCTTGTTTTCATTCCCATTACCACTGTTTAAGGACTTTTCATTTCCTGTTCACTAATATAAAATACTCTTTCCTTGTCTCTTATTCTAGTCTTGCTATTCTCCAAACCATCATCCTCTGCAGTCACTGTTACACTGCTTAATAGCCACCAAAACTCCTGATGGGTCAAAATGTCAACTCTTTTACATGGCAGATATTTTATTTCATGACTGGACCTTTCCCTCCTCAATAACTTGATTTACTGTCATCTCATCTTCTACTTATACCTTATGTTTCATCGATACTAAACTATTTGAAGCTTTCTATATACAACAAGCTATTTGCTTTAGCTAATTATTTTTCCATAGGAAATACATGTCCTCCTTGTTCACAAACAAACACAACTATTCATCGTTTAAAACCTGTTCAAGGATCACCTGAGACACCCCTAACATCTCTTTCTCCCACCTTCTATTCCTGCCACAATACTTTCCCCAGTACGTTGAATATACTTTTGTTATATAATACTTCGTGCTTCTAGATATAACTGCTGAAAAGAATAAAGACATTTAGCTCCATGATAACCTGCAGATGGAACGAAGAATCACTTCCCCATGACCAAATTTTCTGGAGGAATTTGGAGACATTAAATATTTAGAGCATGAATTCAAGAACACACTACCCTCCATCCACCTGATTTATAATTCTTCCAAATATTCTTCCAAATATTACTAAAAATAGAAAGGTTACATGAAAGTGAAAACCACTAAGCAGGCCCACAACAAACTAAAGTTACTTTTTCATACATTTACCTACAGTAACTAATAATTTATTTTAAATAACTTCAAATTTCTCAATGGGTATTCACTTGGAAAGCAAAAGTGAAAGAAAAGAACTACCATAGTTCACCAAGAATGCCAGAGACAGATAAATGACAGAAACAGAATGCCAAAAATGCCAGAAACAGCTCACTTTGAAGTGTCAAGATTTAAAATCAAATTATTTTCATATAATTTTACAATGCGTAGTTCTTTTTGAGAAGGAAATAGACAGTATAAAGGATATAAATTGGCATTTTTAAAAAAATCAGAACATAGACACACAAAATAAAGAATTAGGACATATGCCTACCTGGAGGACAGTAGTTCCTGGTTCCACCATGACAGACTGACCATCAACAAATACTTCAATCAAGTTGCTTGCTGCTGTTGCAGTTGTTCGAACTGACCATCAAAAATATTGAGATGAAAAACAAGAGTTAAATTTATTACAGTGGAAAATAGGTTATCTACAAGCCTAAAATTTTTCTTCACTTTATGTTATTCCTCTTTATTTCTCCAAATGCAAACTATTAAAATATTAAATTAGAAAAAACCTTTTTCAATCCTCAAACCAAACGGAATATGGACGTCTTTTTTTTTTTTTTAATAGAGACAGTCCTGCTCTGTCACCCAGGCTGGAGTACACTGGCATGATCTTCAAGGTTACATGGCTCATGTAACCTTCAACTCCTGGGCTCAAGCAGTCCTTCTGCCTCAGTCCCTGAATAACTGAGACTATAGGCTCATGCCACCACATCCAGCCAATTTTTTAAATTTTTGGTACAGATGGGGTCTCGTTATATTGCCCAGGTTAGTCTCAAACCTCAAGCAATACTCCTCCACCTTGGCTTCCCAAAATACTGGGATTTCAGGCGTAAGACACCACACCCAGTCTAGGATGTCTTTTAATAGCAGTTTAAAACTGAAACTTTCGATATCACTGAAAATGTATGTTCATGAGAAGACCACTTTTTAAAAACAGAATGACTCCAATTTTTCCATTTTGACATCATGTGTAGTTCCTAATACTTTCCATTCCTATGATTATTTCTGTAAACTGTTTAATGTAAAATTATATATTAAAAATTATTCTATTCAACTTAGATAATTTGTTTCTATTATTTGAAACAAATTATGAGTTTAGAGTGTTTGAAGAAATATTCCATAGAACTATGAATTCACAAAGATAAAGTCTAATGCTCACAAATGTAAATTTAGAAAAATGCTCACCACATCCTTTGGGAGACTTAGAAAGGCCTAGTAAGGCTCTTCTTACAGGTATCCTTAACATATTGCTAAAAATAAAACAAAGAAGAATTATATTAGTGTAGGAAAAAAAACACCTACAAACTTTTTGGTAATGTTTCATGCCTTTAAAATACTTCACACACATTATGTCATTGAATACTCACAATTCCTGATATATTCCCTCAAATTCTGTAGATGTGAACACGCAGTCTTTTTTTTTTTTTTGAGACAGAGTCTCGCTTTGTTGCCCATGCTAGAGTGAGTGCCGTGGCATCAGCCAAGCTCACAGTAACCTCAACTCCTGGCTCAAGCAATCCTCCTGCCTCAGCCTCCGAGTAGCTGGGACTACAGGCATGCGCTATCACGCCCGGCTAATTTTTTCTATATATATATTAGTTGTCCAATTAATTTCTTTCTATTTTATAGTAGAGATGGGGTCTCGGTCTTGCTCAGGCTGGTTTTGAACTCCTGACCTTGAGCAATCTGCCAGCCTTGGCCTCCCAGAGTGCCAGGATTACAGGCGTGAGCCACCACACCCAGCCTGAACATGCAGTCTTAAGAGACATCAACTGACTTGTACGTGTCAGGAGCTAAGGAGTAGTAGCTAGTGTATAAATTTGGACTTAACAATTCTACATAAAGTTTTGTTGTTGTTTTAACTCTAAAGAAAGGATCAAACTTAAAACACTACCATATAATAAAATAACCTAGAAGACTAACAGTGAGCTTATCATTAATGACTATGTAAAATAAAGCCTACTCTCCGGTCTTCATTTCCTATCAATATGCATGCTATCATTGTAAGTTCTAAGCACAGTTATCTACTAAATGCTTAAGGTATTCTGAGACAGTCCACAAGCCAAAGCCTTCAAGGTGTCTTGAGTGCTGAGTAGTACATTTATCTTACAGATTTGCAATTATCTGTTTACATGCCTGTTCTATCCTCACTACTGTATGAACACGAATCTCTCTATCTTCAGTGCCTATCCAAAAAGCTAGCACACAGTGAGCTCTCAAATAATGGTTCTCAACTGGGGACAATTTTACACTCAAGGGAATATTTGGCAATGTCTGGAAGATACTGGTTGTTGTTATAAAAGGGACAAGCTACTGGCAGGTACTGGGTAGAGGGCAGGGTGCTGCTAAACATCCTGCAATGCACAGGACTGCCCCTCCCAATAAAGAATTATCCAAAGTATCAATAGGGTTGAAGGTGAAACAGTTTGCTCTAAAAGGTTTGCTGAATTACTGAAATAAATGAAAGTGGATTACATAAACACCACCACTTAAAGACACACAAAGCAAACAGAAAGAAAAGTTACATGAAATTTTATAGGTTTTTTTTGTCCATTCACTTGATCATATGGGCTAAGTATCTAAAATCATTTGGAACTTTTAAAGGTATTTAAAATGCAAATTATATGATTAGAATGTATCAACATAAAAAATTTCAACAACAAAAAAGTTTCAATAGTTGCATCATTATTGGAAAATAGTACATATACTTAAGTTTTATGTATTGAAAACACAAAATTCTGCATACTTATCATAGGTGGTATATAATAGGAAACTTCATTAATTCAGACTTCACTATTTTCATTAATTCATCAATTTCATTAATAATTTGTAATACTCAATTTGCAGACATCAAATCTGTTACCTACTGGTGAGTGATTTTTGGTACACAATGTATGGTTCTTTATAGAGTAGGAGAAAAACAATACTTCCCAGTTATGTGCTATTAGTAGGAGCTCAATAAATGAGAGTTAAAGCTAAAGTCAATTTAGGCACTACTGACCACTGACAATCAGTTTTATAGAGCTCTTCATGTGTGCTCCTTTTCTTTACTACCAGCACACACTGTGTATGTATTTGTATTGTTCCATTTACTAAACTATGGGTTAGTCATCAATTTCAGTACCTACTAGACAGTAAACTTCTTGAAGACAAGGAATTTGGTCATTTCCCTTTTCTGAAAACCTAATAGAGTACCTTATGAAAATAACCACCTAATGGTTTTATTGCCAAGTTCCAGAACGAGTAGCATCTGTCCTATTAAAAACTATTGATGGTCAATATAAAGGTAAACCTGAATTTGCTGAATTAAAGCACTAACCGATTCAAAATCAACAATCAGTATTTTAGACAATTTTAAAACTTTAATACTATTATTTTGTCTCCAAAAGTAGTGTCCCCTTTAGATAGGAAATCAATCACAATGAGGCTGTCCTTTGACAGACAGCATGGAATGGAACACTGTATAGCCCCAACATAAGGAATACAGATTTACAACACTTTGATACATGCTTTAAATATGGTTATATATCAAGTAGGAATGGAAGTAATTATCTCTATTAGATAATGTTAATGACCAATCATTTCTAAAACTAGATTGGGCACTTTTCTATATATACTACTGCACCTCCTCCACCATGCATCCTGCATCCATCTACTTCTTTCCTTCCAAGTTTACCATCCTATCCCAAGATACTACTACCTGTTACCTGGACTATTTCAATAGCCTCTTAACAGGTCACTGGGATTCCACTGTGTTCTCACACAGCTTCTTTCCCTCAGCTGGGGCCTCAGTGGCATAAAAGCCTTTCCTCAAGGAGACTTTCCTTGACCAGCCTATCTAAAATTTCCTGACTACTCCCCAGTCACATTACGCATTTTGTTCTTCTTTATGGACTCATTTCTGACTCGTACAATAACTTTTTGTTAAGTGAACTGAATCTCCAATCTCTGGTCGTTATTTACAGAGATCACTTTAACGATGCACAACTTGGTGAAAACAAGAATATTCCGCAAAACAAAATGAACGTGATGTTCATTATCAAAAACAATTCACGTTACATTTTTTATTTATTTATTTATTTATTTTTTATTTTTTTTCGTGGACGAGGTTCTGGGGCCCCAGTAGAGGGGGGGGCCCCAGAAGTCGCCCAAAGTTACATTTTATATACTCTCAATTCGTTTGTGAACAGAGTTGTGTCTGATCCACAATTTTGTATTAGATCCTGAGAACTTGTAAACAACATTGCTATGTTATTCGCAGTACGACCTTGAGCTAACTTCTTAAAAGTCCTTTTTCTCAGTTTCCCCATCAGTGAAAGGAATAAAAAGTGCTACCCAAAAGTGGTCAATGGACAAAACTAAACTAAACAGGAACAACCAGAGGGGTGAACGATTGCTAAGGAAATAGCGACCAATAATGTACTGTACCAGGTATGTGGAAATTTGGGAAGAAATGCTCAGTCTTTAGGCCTAAGTCATCTAACACAAGTCCTCTCCCTTGGAACAAAACGGCCTCATCCCCTGAGAGGAGAATGTCTTGCACTTTATTGGAGAGAAGATCGCCTCCAAGCCTGCATCGGGCCAGCGTTGCCGAGGACCTCCTGATCCTCCTACTCCTCTTCCTCTCTGCTTCATCAGACCACAGACCATATCTAACAGCCCTCACCTGCCAGCTTAGGGGAATCCCGAGACGGCGGGGCGGAAGGTGTCGCCCAGTCAAGGACAAGAGGAGAATGAGTCACCTGGGCCAAAGGAAACAGTCCTGTCAAGAAATAAACCGGTGGCCGAAACACCTCAGCCTCCACACCCAAACACGACCTCACCTTCTCGCCAGAGCCGCCGAGGCTCCCTTGATGACCTGTCTAGACCACAACGATCCCCGCCCCCCCAAGAAGCCGGGTCGCCTATTCAATATGGCTGCCTCAGCTAACGCCGTCAGCCAGGCCTGGAGAACGGGAAGCCAGGAGGGACAAGAATCCTCAGATCGACAATTTTCCGCTTAGGTTGAGTTCGGCAATTTCCGTCAGCCAGACGAGGGAGGGCGGGGTTCTAAGCAGTAGGGAGGAGGCGGGAGGACAATTTGGAGCCGCAGTTCCGCCGGAAGTGACCAGAAGTCCTAAGGCCGAGCGTCTTCGGTCATCTCCGGCGCTTCAAGGGGCGGTTCCCGTCATCTTCGGGAGCCGTGGAGGTACGAGTTTAAGAAATGCCCCTTTTTTTGATTTATTCCCAAACACAACGAAAGGTCCAGGAACACTCTGTGGGCCTTTTAATTCAGAGCCCCCAATTTTTACGTGGAGGAATGACAATACGAACGTACTTTGACCTTTAACCTTCGGCCGGGTTTGGTGGAGGGGAACGCCTCCGTGTCTATATAAGGAATTTTCCGGTCTGTCCGCGCCCCTTTTCCTCTTTTACCGCCTTGCGCCGTCCGGTTGCGCTCCTTTTCTCTGCTGCTGTCCCGCTCTAGCATACAGCCGGTGACATGGGTTTCGGAGACCTGAAAAGCCCCGCTGGCCTCCAGGTGCTCAACGATTACCTGGCGGACAGGAGCTACATCGAGGGGTGAGCGGACGGGACGGGGCGGCAAGGGAGCTTCCCGGGCCGGGGCCACGTGGCGCAGCGTCCGCCGCCACAGGAGGGAAGGAGGCCGGGCCCCAGGGCCCTCGAGGTGGAAAGCGCCGCTTTTCCGTCCCCAGAGGCCCCGTGCGGTGCAAGCCCGGCCTCTGGGAAGTGGCTTATGAGGGGAGAAGGGTTAAATGTGCTTTATTTCCACTTAGACTTTATTCAACCAGGTTTTTCCACCTTGTTGCCCAGTGAATAAGTGTTATCCTATAGGCAGAGCTACGGTACAGATTGCAATCTTTGAGGTCTACAGAGTGGCAGACATTCCTCAGAATAACTTGGCGACCCAGACAGTCTCTGATTTTAAGGAGCTTATACAAAAAAGTAAAGCAGCTTAGGTAACCCTACCGGGGCTAGTTCCCACTGATGAATGCTGTGGGTATAGCGCTTGTCATTTATTTGCTGGTGTTTTTCACAGGCGTGTGTAATTCTGTTTGTGTCTTGGGCAGGTATGTGCCATCACAAGCAGATGTGGCAGTATTTGAAGCTGTCTCTGGCCCGCCGCCTGCCGACTTGTGTCATGCTCTACGTTGGTATAATCACATCAAATCTTATGAAAAGGAAAAGGCCAGGTAAAATTATATTTGTATCTATCTGAAGAATAAGACTGCTGTTCATGCTTTATCACGGTTTTCACATGACAAAATTGGACCCAGCCTACTTTAGTTTTGGGATATTGTAAGCTAAATTTCTTTGTGATCTTAGACGGCCAAGAGACTGAAGTCCTCCATTTTTTCACAGAACAGGTAGAACATGGACAACAGCAATTCAAGTTTTCCCCACACTGCCCTGCCAATGTGCCTCGATCCTGACCTGGGGGGGCCACCTCTGGGGTGAGAGGGTGGCTCATTCATTCAGTCCTTGGCCATTCTTCTGAAACAGCCAACAAGGGTGGAAGTTTGGGGAAGTGGACTCGAGTTCACTAAGAATGGAACTGAGCATACTTAATGAAATCTCAAACAGAAATGTTCATACTGAAAGAGTAAATCATAGTGAGTATTGAATATAATGTCTCACATGGGACTAATGTTTGTTGGGTGAGGAGTCGAACATATATTTACCTGGGAGTGTGTTAAAGTATAATCATTACTACACAAGGGATCTAGTGATAAATAGAAACTTGACTTGTGTGTTGTCTAGAAAAGGACATTATACCAACCTAATAGTGATTGAATTTAAATTTTTTTCAAGCTTGCCAGGAGTGAAGAAGGCTTTGGGCAAGTATGGCCCTGCTAATGTGGAAGACACTACAGGAAACGGAGCTACAGATAGTAAAGATGATGATGACATTGATCTCTTTGGCTCTGATGATGAGGAGGTATGGCATCTTTCATAAGAGAATAAATTGGTAGGCAGTATATCATTATGTAACCATGGATTTCATAGCCAAATTGGCTGGATTTGAATCCTGGCTTTATTTTATTTATTTGCCTTTTAAACATTCTCTCTGGTTCTATGATGAATAAAATCAAATCACCATCTTTCGGCTGAGCTCGTGATGGATTTGCTTTTTTCTGATGAAGCTGGTCTTTTTTGTGATGACCCCACTAGCTATAAGCAGAGGAACAACCAACTTTGTGAAATGTATTAAATTTTTTCTTTACAGGAAAGCGAAGAAGCAAAGAGACTGAGGGAAGAACGCCTTGCACAGTATGAATCAAAGAAAGCCAAAAGTAGGTCATTTTATAATTTGTGGTTAACTTCCTTTAATAATAATCTTTTTCAAAATGTAACCCCAAAGTAATTTCCTCCATATTCATTGAAATAGGTCAGTATATTTTAAGACATTCCATGGAGGTTCCTCATAAAACTTCCACAGCTACTGGTCTGCAGCTGTTCTTATGTAGCAGTTGTGGCATTCCTCTGTGGGAAAGAAACTGTTAACACAGTCATACACCTCTTTCTTAGCAAACGGAAAGTGGGTATATGTGTGACAGACACAAGATGTATTCTGCAGTTTTGTTCAGCTAAGGAGATGGTACATTATAAAACAAATTGAGAAGATTTATGTGTCTTGGAGTAGAGTGAAAAAATAAAATATGGTATTTGAATAATGCTGTTTCTTTTTAGAACCTGCACTTGTTGCCAAGTCTTCCATCTTATTAGATGTGAAACCTTGGGATGATGAGACAGATATGGCAAAATTAGAGGAGTGTGTCAGAAGCATTCAAGCAGATGGCTTGGTCTGGGGCTCCTGTAAGTTTGGTCTTGGCTTTTTTTTTTTTTGAAACTGACATCTGAAATTTGCATGCAGTTTTAAACTTTGTCAGGACTTTTCTAACTAAGATTTTTCTTAATGTTCTTTTTAGCTAAACTAGTTCCAGTGGGATATGGAATTAAAAAACTTCAAATACAGTGTGTTGTTGAAGATGATAAAGTTGGAACTGATATGCTAGAGGAGCAGATCACTGCTTTTGAGGACTACGTGCAGTCCATGGACGTGGCTGCTTTCAACAAGATCTAAAATCCATCCTGGATCATTGCACTTAAATAAAAGCTTGAAAGATAACCCTTGGCTCTTGAGTCTGTTAAATTGGTGGTACCTATATTTCTTTCATTTTTGAGGGAAAAATTGAGTGGACATGTAATTCCTAAATAAATAAAAATTGGGTTTAGCATTTTTGCTAAACCAAAATGTTTGGCAATTTTTTTGCCAAAAATTGGTTTTAACATTTAGCAATTATACAATTCTGTGCCCATTAATAATGTCCTCAGCATGATGCTGATGATATGATTTGTTGTAACCCAGCATGTTCACATTGGCATTCCCTGGGGTTTCGTTTTGGTTTTGAGACAACAGTCTATTTCCTTGGCTAGAGTGCTGTGGTATCAGCCTAGCTCACACAACCTCAAACTCCTGGGCTCAAATGATCTTGCTGCCTCAGCCTCCCAAATAGCTGGGGCTACAGGTGCATAATGCCACCATGCCTGGCTAGCTTTTTTTTTTTTTTTTTTTTACTTTTTTTGTTGTTTTCTCTCAGAGTTATCAAGGACCAATATTTTTTTCTATTTTTAGTAGAGACCCGGGTTCCCTCTCGCTCAGGCTGGTCTGGAACTCCTGACTTCAAGTGATCCTTGGCCTCTGGAATTTGCTATTGGCTGTAAAATGGTAATTCCGAATCTGACTTGAAAATAATCTTTACTATTACAATAAGACGAGCAACACTACTAGAGGCCGCCTGACCCAGAGCAGGGAAGTTCAGTTAGGCCCCAGAATTTGTTATGAATAAACAACCATTTATCAACATAGATGTTGCAAATTTAAAATAATGACTCATCATACTGTAAAGGCAATACCTCCTAAGTGTTGGGACTAATTTGTAGTAGCATGTCCTGGGAGGTATATTATGTAGGTAACTGTTTCCCCAGCTTTCTAGATAAGCTTCACTTTACTGTGAAGGTTCATAAGGGGCTTGAGTGTGGAGGTGGGATATTTTGCTTGAATTTAGAAATCTGACTTGAGTGCTGCAGGTAAATACTGAGGTGAGGATAGTATGTTAACAGCTGCATCTTTTTTTTTTTTTAACTTATCTGTATTTGTTACAAGTTTTAAGTGGATTATGACTTGGGCGCTACATTTCTATTCACAAGCCTCACTTTTCAAAACAGTTTTACAACACATATGGATAGGGCTTATGATTTTGCTCCTCTAAACAATACTTTGGAAAATAAACCCTGTGTAGAGTTTTAAGTTGCTTTACTTTAAACATACTTATTTCTAGAGGACTAGTAGTACATGCAGAACAGCTGCATTTTAACAGTTGGGGATATATCTAAACTTTTTTTTTTTTACACTAACAGAACTAGAGCTTGGGAATTGCTGATCTCTAAATGTCTTTGTTGGCCAGGCGTGCCTGTAATCACTCTGGGAGGCTGAGGCGGACAGATCATTTGAGCTCAAGAGTTCAAGACCAGCCTGAGCAAGAGTGAGACCCCTGTCTCTACTAAAAATAAAAATAAATTAATTGGCCAAATAAAAATATACAGAAAAAATTAGCTGGGCATAGTGGCACATGCCTGTAGTCCCTCCCAGCTACTTGGGAGGCTGAGGCAGAAGGATTGCTTGAGCCCAGGAGTTTGAGGTTGCTGTGAGCTAGGCTGACTCCATGGCACTCTAGCCTGGGCAACAGAGTGAGACTCTTGTCTCCAAAAAAATAAAGGGCTTTGTAAATGACTAAAGATATTAAATGGCTTTAGATCAATTTTTTCATAGAATCAGTGTTACTTCCTTTCAATCTGGTTTTACGTTGTGACTACCTTGAATATGGGAAACTTTATGTTATAAGGACAATAAGGTTGGGTGCAGTGCTTCATGCCTGTAGTCCTAACACTTTGGGAGGGCGAGGCAGTAGGATCACTTGAGGCCAGTAGTTGTAG